GGGTGTGAGGGTGTTGGTGTGGGTGTATCTGTTTCCTTTTATATACATCCACACCCACACCCCACATCTACCTATGTGTATGCCTGTTGGGAAGAAACTCAGGAATAGAGTCGATCAATCTGCTAGTAAAGGTCATGTTCTGGCATATGAACGACTTTTTTCTGTCTTTTTGTGTAAAATGCGTAGTTATCTCATGGATAACGAAATAAAACAGGAAGAACTATAGCAAAACCAATCTACTAACTTACACTAGCTCTCTTCGGTCCATCACTCTACCAAACGACTTCATAGCAAGAAATAATTTATCGGACTGGTGGTCTTCGGGAATTGGTCATAGTTAAGAAACGTCTGTTAGGAGAAACATATCTGTCTTTTATTAAGGAGTTTATATTGTTCAACCAAAACTCTTCGCATGGCGTATTACTACTTTGGATTCTCGGGATAAGATATCAAACTGCTGCGAAAAAAAAACATTCGAACACATTTACCAAAGCTTTCAATAGTCTTTTTAGCAAATCTATCTTAGAAGAAAAACAAAAATAGAAGTAAACGACTAGTAATCGATGTAGAAGAAAACATATAGTGTGTTATTATTATAAAATGTCTACTTTTCCTTCAAATATCATTTTATAATCTATCTAATATGTCATCTTATATGTCAATACTCATCCTTTCGGTTTTGTCTCTTGTTATTCTCATAAAACTACAACTGATTTTCTTTGTGATTAAGAGATATTCACTTGTTGTTGACTCTGTAGTAGTAGTTGTAACCGTTGTAGTAAACATCGTAGTTTGAGAAGCATTCGTTGTAGTAACGACGATTCCTGTCGTTGTTAAGTTGGCCAAAGGCGTCGTCGTGCCTAGAGGCTGAAATAGCCAAGCTCAAAAATAAAATCTCGAAGTGAACTGTTATTCTTACTCGGCTAGTCACTGTATGACTTGTAGGTGGTGTCGTTGTCGTTGTTGTCGTACTCGAAAGAGCTGGGTTCCAAATATCGAAAACCCAAAAAGTCGAACTAGTAATTGGTGCTGATTCGGCATCTATATAGAAAGTCTCTCATTCTAGCTGAACCAATAAAACAGAATGTGACTTACGGCAAAAACTGTTACCACTTGCTGCTCCTAGAAACACAATGAAATTAAATACAATGTGAAATGGTTCAAAAACTCCAACCGCTGTCGAATGTTACAAAGTAAGTATGCCCAGGTACCCAGGCAAAGGGTGCATAGATAATCATTGCACTGCCCGAGTATATAACATTTGGCGACCAGCCACAATCATAGCTGAGTACAACTGTGTTGTGTAATGTGGCATCATTGAAGTACACATAGGTTCCATTGCGACTTGGTCGATTCATAAGCATCCCATTAACACCTCCAAAAAGAAATTATTTACTACCATAGGCGTATAATGATTCCTCACTCTGAATAGAAAATATGCTCTGGTTTGCGAATACCGTGCCCACCGGTGAAGCGCTTCCCTGAACCAAAAGTGGAGTCTGAAGATCGGGTGCTGTGAAGCCAACCAGGAAAGTAATGCACCACGCATCCGATTGTACATTAGTACTGTCGACTGCTCCGGCACAAAAACCTTGTGGACCGTACTGATTCGGAGACGGAGTCCAGAGAAGATTAATCATATAGATGCCTAGAGAGAGAGAAAGAGTAACACATTCATTAATCGTATCAATCATTGTATAAGACTATCTATAGCCTAACACAATCGGCCAAAAAATATGTTCTACTTGCACTGTACAGAAATCACTTGGGTTTTTTAGTTACTCTTTTCTTCTCTAAATTTTTTTTTTCTTTCTTGAAGAAGGCAAATAAAGTCAAAACACGGGTCGAAAAATACTCATCTCCAATATATGAGAGAAAGAGAGAACAAGAACAGAACAAAAAAATATGTGTTACCTGTACTGGGATTCATAATAGCACTTTTTCTCAAGCCGATGGGTGAACTCGTAGTGAAATCAATGATCGTTTTACCAGGACAGCCCACCTGTGCAATAACTGTTTCGTTAGTAAGAACACCTAGCAATTAATTAAACTAATTCAGAAGAGTTCTGTAAGTCCTATACAATTACTTACCAATTGGTGTGCCGATGCATGCTAGTGACAAAAAAACAGAAACGAGAGAGAAAGAAAGTAAGAAATATAACAAGCGTCAACAAATTAAAAATCAAACCTAAATTGGGTCGAACACCAATTATGGAGGGTGGTGTAGAACAACCACTAGGAACTGCTATACCATAGAACATAAACTGAACTGGAACTGAACTCATGGGTGTCGGGCTCGTTGATGTATAGAAGTCTTCAATTTGAAGAGCTACTGCATAGTAACCACCTACGCTCGAAATCCTAAAGACGAGAGTACAATTGTCTGGAGAGAGCGTGTATCCAGCAGGTAGACTCGGAGCACACACTGAGGCACACTCGTCGTATCCGTTCGCATTGCTTGGTGTATTATCAGTTGACCATCGACAACGGAGTGTGTCAGTGGAATCAGCATCGGACATTGGAATAATTTGAACATGTTGAACACCCACAGTTCGATAAATCACTGGCAGAGTAGTTGTAACTGGCGAAGTATTGATTAAACCATCAGAGCGCACTGTAAGATCGATTTTACCGGTGACTTGCCAAGCGCCATTACCACCGATGGCCAATGCCAACCAGTTACCGCCATAGAATCCCACTATAAAAGTACCGCCAAGGGGAAGACTGAGTGTATTATATACTTCTCCTGAGGAACAGTCCGTTAAGGTGCTGTAATCTGTACATATAACATCGGCACTTAGAGTTATGAATGAACTACAGGAGCCAACATTGCAGTCCAAATTGCCTGTGTTACTACCGATGATTTGCTGATTAGTGATCGTCGTAGTAGTGCACATGCTCGACCAATAATCACGGCGCCACGAATACCGCTGGTGAATCAAAACCTGAACAGTCGCACCAGAAGGAGTTGTGCTAAGTGCTCGCCTAGACGATACACAATCAAAATGACTATTAAAATCAAAAGAACTCACCAGGTGATAATACCACCACGAAAGTGAGTTCCACTAATTAGTTCTACTAATACAGCTAGAAATAGGAGAACCAGGACTCGCCGAGGACCCATCAAAATTGTTCGCAATACAAAATTGTTGACAAGCGAACACGCAGACTAATAACGACTTTCTCAATGTATTAAAATAACGTTCAGCAAAGCTTCACGTATCACACAACTTTGTTAGACACGTGCAATCAATCACTTACTTTTTTGCAAATGTTTTGTATTATAAAGTAAGCTATTACTTTACACCAGCGAAAAAAAATCAACAAATACTTCTTTGCTTCAATTTAGACTTAATTCTGAATGCTGCACATACAAAGCAAACATACTTTTCAATCTTCAGTATATATATATATATTATTTAAAAGTGTAAACAATTTTTGAATGCCTGGTGCACTTTTTCAAACATTTCATTCCGTCTTGAATAAATAAAAGCAGTTAAAAAAAATCTGATTCAGCACTTATTCGATTGCCTTAAACAATAAGTGCTCGCAACAGCTCTGCATCTCAAACAAAAAATACAACACTCGTTTATGTAAATATATGCTTTTTCAAGTTTTTTTTTTCTCATCCTACATATTTATATACGCTTTCTGCACCATGCAAATGCAACGAAAGCTAATCCACCTACACTGAGTATGGGTGGGTGTGTAGGTGAGTGTGAATAATTAATACACTCACATCCACATCCCCATCCAAGGGAAAAGATTCCTTCCGAGCCATTTGAATGGTTCGGATTGGATCAGAATGGATCGAAGTAGATTCAATAGAATTGAAATGCCTGAATGAGTTCGTCCCCCCGCCCCCCCCCCCCACCCCCCCCACCCCCCCCCACCCCCCCCCACCCCCCCCCCCATACCTCCACTTGTTCTGTCTTTGAGCAG